GTAACTGGATGGAGGATGTTCCTTAATGGCAGCTACATTTTCAGTGCATAAACTGTCATACTAGCCCAGCTAGTTTAAACGCATAGAAAAAGGATTTTGCTTTTTCTTATTAGATAAAGAAGCAAAACAATTGCAGCTTGAACAGTCCCTTAAAGTTGGACTGCTGGATTGTCCTTGTTGCCCCACATATATGTACAAATTCTAAGCCAGTATCTTATTTCTCTAGGTTGCTGCGGATGAGGAATTGGATTTCATTTTCCTTGGAGGGGATAATGAATGATTCCCTATACAACTATTTCCCATGTGGTTTAACATTACAAGCGAACATAGACATTGTGGTGATTAGCTTCAACCACATGATTTCCGGAGCTTTGATATCATTTAGTTTTCTGCATTTACCTATTTTGCAAATGTTAGGGTTATTCAGTCATCAAAATATTTCCTCAGTTATTCATGCTTTGTATCTTGAACATAATCCCTTCCCTGCCAAATATGTTCATGTCATAAAATCTTCCTAAGAAATGGCCTGACCGCACAGCTACCAGGGCTTATTTTTGTGATATGTAAAAGCTGTGAGGATTGAAGACAAAGAAAGAAGATGATCAGTTTGTAGAGAAATGAGGAATGCAGTCAATTGCTTTTGCAGAAAAGTAGCCTTATTAAAACTTCACATGCAAAATGTTATAGGATCCTGATTATGGCCAGTTGTTTTTAATTATACAGCAGCAACTCATGTATATAATGGTAGCTTGGTGCACATCAACTTCCCGTCTGTGACATACTGACACTGTCACATACAGTGACATACAGGCACTGTCACACATTAGGAAGCGTGAGGTTTTCCATACTTGATTTAGAAATTTGTGAGCAGCTGACTGCAGGTAAGAAGCTGGCATGTGACATAGGAAATGTGACCTTTCAAACTGCTTCACAGACCTTTAAGGAAAATGCAGGTACGAAACACTGTAGTCTTCTAATACTCTTACTCAGCACACTCAGTGGTGTAACAGCTATTGTAATATTGTACCTTGGGAATTTATTTTGAAGAGGAGTGTCATGTAATTAAAGAACCACATGGGCAGGGTGCAGATCCCATGGGCCTTTGGCACACAATCAGAATTCCACTGCTCATTTGGCTGGATGATGCCCCAAGAGGGGGCAATGACAATAAAGATATTATTATTATTATTATTATTATTATTATTATTATTATTATTATTATTATTACCCCAGCCATGCAGGAGCTACTTATGGAACAGTGGCTCTCTCATAGCTCAGGTATCTTGCCCCTGAAGACAATCTAATGGAATGAATTGAATAGCTCTATTCATGTGTTTCATACATGTAGGTCACAGGTGGGGAACAGGATCAATGGTGTCTCTATGAATCTGAACATAAAAAGGACATCTAAAAAATATATGTTCGGGGCTTCCTATTTCCCCTAATAGGCAGGCGCAAAGTCTCTGTGCGTATGGGACTCTTCTAAAGGAGCCTTCCAGAACCTGTGAGGACAAGGCCAAACTTCTACCAAGAGTGAAAGCCCTTCTTGCGTTTCTGGATGTGAGGAAATAGAGATATGTTGCTGGAGCGGCTACGTATCTCCTGTTTTCTATGATTTTATAATCGGGGACCCTTGTACAGTCCTGTTGTCTCTCTGTGTCCATGATTCTTTGCCTAACCACGGATCTAGCTTGGCCCAGGCCCATAGTTATGAAGGGTTTGGGGAGCAAGGCCCAGTTTCTGAAGAGTGTTTAAGACTGCTGTCTGCCAGCCAGACTGAAACTGGTCACTCAGAATCAATGGGGCTATTCCTCGGGGGAGCAGTTTCAGAGTTAGCCACTTATATCTTGATGTTAGACTAATGTGAGCTTCGACTTCCATCATTCCTGTTTCTAGTTTGACCCATGCATTTGAAACACATCTAGGAACTTGTAGAAGGGCTCTGAGGAGTTTGGATTGCACTCTTTCAAGGGGAATGAAGCGGGCCCAGAAAGGATCCGTAAAGGAGCTCTGCCAACATTTTAGCTTTATATAATTTTAGTGCCACGGGGACATAAAAGCCCCCTTGAGTTCTAAAAAATTTAAGGATAGCATTTGCAAATCTTTCTCCGGCACACCCATTTGAGTTAATATGAATTTTGTTGGATCCTGATGCCTGGATTGCCATTCCTAAGTATTTATAGTTCGAGACTTGATCTAAATTTTGGCCTTGAAGTTTTTCAGTTTCTGAGCTTTGGTTTCCCCCCAAAAGCAAGAATTTTGGTCTTTTGATAGAAAGAAAAGGGTAGGCTAAGCAGCTTCTGTTTTAATTGCAGAGATGCTGCTAGAGATGTTGCTAAAAGCTCAGATGATGATGTTGTTGTTGATGATGGTGATGATGGTGATTACCTTAAATTATCCTGTCGTTCCACTCAAAGGAGCCCAGGGTGGCAAACCCAAAACTGCAAAAACAATACCATTAATTTTTTTTAAGGGGATTTAAAAAAAAGAAATGTAAACACTGGTTCCTTGTGTAGTCATTCATTGTAGGAAACTGGTATCTTCACTTGTCAGAAACATTTTTTAAAAAATTCTGTTGGGTTAAACAGTTCATTGACTTTTGCAGGATTGCACAGCAAATTGAGAGACGCAATGTTTGTTCAAATTCTTTGAATTGAGGATTATTATGTAGCAACAGAGCATGGGAGTCAGTCCCAGATGTGTCAAAGGTTCAAACTTTACTTAATTAAGCATGAGTGGAATGTGTTGGGGAGAAAAATTGCTGTGGGTTGATCCTTAGTGTTGTAACAAGTGCCAGTTCTTTGTATTCACATGTTGCCTTTCTTTCATGTCAAATTGAATCACCAGATTGGTTGTTGATGCTGTCTTATGTACAGGGAAAGCCTGGTGCATATAAAAGCTGAAATGTCTGTAGCAGAGCAATAGTAAAATATATGAATCCTTTGGACTTTTGTGCTCTTACATTTGTGTTTTTGGTTCCACAGCAAATTAACTGCTCCAATTTCTCATTCCATTCTCACCTCTCATTCCATTCTCACCTCCCTCACCAGATTGTTGCTTATGCTGCATTGGGAAATCAAATATAGATGCATGCATTTCTGTTGTGGCAAAATAAACTTCTATTTATACTACTATTGTTGTTTAATTCTTCTGAACAACTACGAATACATTCATGTCACACAAAGAAAAGAGCGTAATGCATTCATGTCTATTCAGAAGTACAGTAAGTCCCATTGAATTCAATGGAGCTCACAACTAAGTAGGTGAATATAGGGTTGCCATCTCAATTTTTTAAAAAATAATTTATTAAATTGTACAATTTTATATTCATCACAATAATATTATCTCAAAAATAATAATAATACAATTCCCCAAATCCCTCCCCCGACTTCCCTCAATTTCCCCTTCTGGTTCTTTATATATTTACTTTTCCTGCTTATTTAGTTATACCTTAATATTGCATTCTTTAAATTAAATATTGTTATATTTTTTATACCATTTCCCCCCCCCAAATTACCTCTTACACTTTGTTACTTTCCCATTCTTACATCTTAATTTCTATGTTTATTTTGTTGGTTGTAAGTGTTTACTCAAACCCTGCTAGTGAGTCCATTTCTTTACAATATTTTTGTAAATACAACATGAATGGTTCCCAGTCTTTTTAAAAGTCTCTATTGTCCTGGTCTCTATGTTTTCCAGTTAGCTTTGCCATTTTAGCATATTCCATCAGTTTTTCTTGCCATTCTTCTTTAGTTGGTATCAAACTGTCTTTCCATTTTGGGGCTAGTAATATCCTAGCTGCTGTTGTAGCATACATAAATAGTTTCTTCTGCTCTTTTGGGAAGTCTTGACCTGTAATGCCTAGAAAAAAGGCTTCTGGTCTTTTAACAAAGGCTATCTTAAACATTCTTTTCTTTGCATTGTAAATCATTTCCCCAAAACTTTTGATTATTTTACAATCCCACCACATATGAAAAAATGTGTCTTCGCCATTTCAATTCTTAAAACAGTTATCACATACAAAACTTTCTGATCCACAACTATGCTGCAGGAGTGGGTGGGGAAAGTAAGGTAACTGGAAGGCCTTACCAAAACTGGTTTGCATCAGTTTGCTAGTATGGGATGGTAAATGTTGGCTCTGCAAATAAGATAAGTGTCTGATGCTCATGAGATGTACAATGCCTGTATCTTTTGGTGTGTTTATTCATTTCAATTTTGCCTACAAAATATTCTGCTGGAACCAGCCCCTTCCATTTTGACGGCTCCTTTTCTAAAAGAACTCTTTGAGCATATTTCTAAGCTATCACCACTAGTTTAATAGGCATTCTCTTTTTCCAGAGAAAGATGGGGAGGTTGGTGTTCTCTGGTGGGGATCTCTAAGCCTCCATTTTCACATTGCACTCGCATTGATGGGGAGACTCGCCTGGCACCTTCATTACGTTTATTTAGAGGCCGGGCAAAAGCTCTCCTCTTCTTCCAGACCTTTAGCTAATTAAACAATCTATGGCCTTTTAAACTTTGTGTGGGGAGTTACTGTTTCTGTTTGTGGCTATGATGTGCATTTTTGTGTTTTTATATTGTAAAATGCCCTGTGATCCTCGGGTGAAGGGTGGTATAGAAATTTAATAAATAATAAAAACAATTGTGCTAGTAATTTAGTACCTGTTGAAATAGAGTTCCTTTTCCTGCTGCAGAGATGAGAAGCAAAGGTAGGGTGATCAGAAGCAAAAAAATAATAACCCAGCAACAATGAATAAAGAAAATAAAGGCAAATTCAAATACAGTGGTACCTCGGGTTACATACACTTCAGGTTACATACACTTCAAGTTACAGACTCCGCTAACCCAGAAATAGTGCTTCAAGTTAAGAACTTTGCTTCAGGTTGAGAACAGAAATCGTGCTCTGGCAATGCGGCGGTAGCAGGAGACCCCATTTGCTAAAGTGGTGCTTCAGGTTAAGAACAGTTTCAGGTTAGGAACAGACCTCTGGAACGAATTAAGTACTTAACCTGAGGTACCACTGTAGCATTAACCTTAAAAATCTGGGGGGGGGGGAATCGAAAATAAACAAAAAGTCTTCACTAAGCATCTGGCTCCCTACCAGAGTCATTCTATGAGGTTTTTCCTCCCATCGCCAGACCTTCATTACCAGTAGCACTATATGAAAGACAGGCGTTCTCACCACCTCACCCTACTAAAATTCCCAAGGTTTTCTTGGGAGAAGAAACAACAACAAATGTTATAAGAAACTGACACAAGTTTGTGGTCTAGCCTTGACCTTTAAGGATCAGGCTAGGCAGCCCATTCCATAGTGAACCACTAATGTGATCCAAGCTGCGGTTCATATACCAGTGACATTTGACAGGAGGATAATCATTTGCGGAGGGAAAACACCCACCCACCATGATTTCTTCATTAGAAAGTTGGAACCGGTAATCTCATCTGAAGAATTTATTTGTGGGCTGCATTAAAAGAACTGTTAAATTTTTTAAAAAGCATTTTCTGTGTTTTTACCCTTTAGCTAGGTTTCCCTACTGCCAGATTAAACTCTTCCTCGCTCCAAGTTCTTAATTATAGAGTAAACACATTTCGTTTTATTACTTGACATAATTGAAAAAAGGAAAGGAAAGAAGTCTAGTGAAGAAATACTTTGGAAAGGATACAGCGGACAGTTAGGAACATATCGAGCTAAGAGAGAGCACATGTAGGAAATGAAAAGGCAAGTACAATGTGTTGCCAACTAACCCAAAATTAAAAGGCCAGGCCTGCTCTTATGCTCTTAACAGTAGCTTGATCTGCAGACATCTGTAGGCGAAGCTTTTCACAGCATGCGATAAACATTATTTTTTAATGCCTGCACTTGTAACCAAGCTTCTGTTAAATACACAGGTACAATTGCAGTCAAAAAGGCTGGTAATGCTATTTCAAATCATTTGGGAGAAAAAACACTTATTTGCAAGTTGGTAAACCTATTTTGCTTCCTTCCCCATTAAATATCTTTCAAAATGTAAAATTTGCAAGAAAAAGAACAAAAGAAGAGGAGAAAAGAGAAGAGAAGAGAGACACGCCTAAATTAGTCCTCAAACTTGGGTCATATTTACATGTCTTCTTCTAGGTGATTTTGTTTCTATAGGTATACTTATTGCTTTCATTCTTATTTATTTATTAAATATTTATCTACTGCTGTATCGTAGAACTATATCACAGTGCTTTACCACAATACAAGAACATAAAGTCATACAAAAAAGCATAAGAAAGTAAAACAAGTTAAAAGCAAAAGAATTAAAAACAAACAGCAATAGACCATTGTGAGTAATGCACTCTTAATTTCCTGCATAGGCCTGGCATAATAAAAAAGTTTTCAGAAGTTGGCACAGAAGGTTAAACTTGGATCTGACCCAGGATACAGATATGAGAAAATGGGTGTGAGATTTGAATTCAAAGAATAACTAGGAAACAATGGAACTGGATTTGGGACAACTTCTATTCTAATATAATTTCTGCAGACCTAAAAAAACTACTTTAAATGGTATTTAACACCTTATAAATTGAATTTCATGAATAAGTTAGGATTGGCTAAATGTTGGAGATGTGGATTAAATAAAACAGATTGCATACATATCTTCTGGCATTGTCCTCAAATAGACATATTCTGGATATCCATTCAGGATAATATCTATGCTATGTTAGGATATCAAATACCCTTGGAACCTAAAATATTTCTGCTTGGTTATCTAGAGGATGTTATTCTGGAAAACGATCAAGTGTTATAGCTGCTGCTAAGAGTATAATAGCTAAAAACTGGGATGAAAGCATAGCTCTTACTATATCTAAATGGACTGAGAAATTTATTCCATAGTAATTATGATTAAACTAATGTATTATAAAATAATACATATAACCCAGCACAACAGGTTTATGGGGGAAATGGGTGGGGTTTTTGGTAATGTTTTGGAACAGATTCAGTGATAATGTCCACTGAATGCTTTCAACCTGTATTTTTATGCTCTTTATCTTTGGTTTATTTTGCTTATTAATATATATATATTAAAAATTAAGTTGGCACAGAAGACGTCTGCTGAATCTCTGTTGACAGGGTGTTCCACAGGATTGGGCCAATGGCACTGAAGGGTTAGTCACTTGTAAACACACAAATTATTTCGTATTAAAGCCATCTCTTTATTTGTGGACAGATAGCCTTTAAGTTTAATTTGTTAGATGGATCAAATCCAGCGCAGTCTGTAAACAATTTTTCCATTTTTGTGGTAGACCACAATGATGGCTTGCTGTGACAATGTAACCACACAAGAAAGTAACTCATTTTGACTTTTTCTTTTTGGGGGTGTGAAGTGTTAGATCAGTGCGTACTGTACATGTGCCTCTGGAACTTGGCAATTGATAATTTGGCACCTTTTCATTGGCTTCTTTCCACCAAGATCTGCAGATGAAGAAAATAATAAGAAATGGAGATTAAGAGAAACTGAGGAACTCAATGAGTAGCAAATTGCCACAATCCCTTGAATTGCCTACATATCTTGAAACATATAGAAACACACACACACACAGTTTGACAAACTCCCAATTGGGTTGTGTCACAAAATCTGGTTTTTTTGCATCTCTTTTAGAGCGGAAAGCGTTGAGGTTCTCTTCAAAGGTTTTGCACAAAACATTCTAATCAGAGACAGACTATGTACTCATGTTTTTATATATAAAATACACTCATTTAATTGCTAATGGAGGTGGGAGACCATCTTATGGCAAAGTCTGCAAAAGGGGAAACAAAAGCAGCTCCATAAAATGCAAATGCCTGAATTTAAAAGAGTAACCAACTGGGTTGCATTCAATTGATTGCAAACATGACTGAAGACTGGACAAGTTTCCAAACCCAAATGCTTAAAAAAAAAAAAAGTAACCTCAGTTAAATGGAAAGCCTTCATTAGCCTGTTTTGGAATATTTGCTTGCACTCAACAGTAATTTAAAAAGCTTCCAGAGGTCCCAAAGGTCATTCCCTCTAATTATTTTTATCCTGTCTGTGAGAAAGATGGTGAACACTCTCTGATGTGTTATTTATTTACTATACTCGAAAAACTTTGTTTGCTGTGCAGGATTGCTAAAGTTTGAAGTCACAGAAAATACATTTGGGGGGTGGGTGTGATGGGAATTTACCACATTCTGCCCACAGGGATTATAGTCCACATAGGGTTTGGTTATCCTTTCCTGGCATTTTCTATTCCCAGGCTTCCATAAGAGCAGGCACTTTGCTTGATTTCAACTTTAAAATGATTGTAGTTAAGCTATGGAACTTGTTCCAACAGGAGACAGCGATGGCCACCAACTTGGATGGGTTTAAAAGATGATTGTCTAAATTGGACAAATTCCTGGAGCATAAGGGCTACTAGCCACGACGGCTATGCTCTTTCCTCATAGTTGGAGGCTGTAGGTCAGGCATAGGCAAACTTGGCCCTCCAGATGTTTTGGGACTACAACTTCCATCATCTTTAGCTAACAGTGGTCAGGGATGATGGGAATTGTAGTCTCAAAACATCTGGAGGGCCGTTTGCCAATGCCTGCTGTAGGTTTCTGAAGACCAGTTGCTGGAAAACACAGGAGAGCAGATCCTTGTGCTTGGGTCTTGCTTGCAGGTCTCCCACAGGCACCTGACTGACCACAGTGAAAACAAGATGGTGGATGGTCGACAGTGGAATTTGCTGCCAAGGAGTGTGGTGGAGTCTCCTTCTTTGGAGGTCTTTAAGCAGAGGCTTGACAACCATATGTCAGGAGTGCTCTGATGGTGTTTCCTGCTTGGCAGGGGGTTGGACTCGATGGCCCTTGTGGTCTCTTCCAATTCTATGATTCTATGACTAAATGGGCCCTTGGCCTGATCCAGCAAGCTCTTCTTAGGTTCTTGTTGTGTGTAATAATAATAATAATATATTATTTGTACCCCACCCATCTGGTTGGGTTTCCCCAGCCACTCTAGGCAGCTCCCAATGGAATATTAGAATCATAGAATCAGAGTTGGAAGAGACCACAAAGGCCATCGAGTCCAACCCCCTGCCAAGCAGGAAACACCATCAGAGCACTCCTGACATATGGTTGTCAAGCCTCTGCTTAAAGACCTCCAAAGAAGGAGACTCCACCACACTCCTTGGCAGCAAATTCCACTGTCGAACAGCTCTTACTGTCAGGCAGTTCTTCCTAATGTTTAGGTGGAATCTTCTTTCTTGTAGTTTGGATCCATTGCTCCGTGTCCGCTTCTCTGGAGCAGCAGAAAACAACCTTTCTCCCTCCTCTATGTGACATCCTTTTATATATTTGAACATGGCTATCATATCACCCCTTAACCTCCTCTTCTCCAGCTCCCTTAGCCGTTCCTCATAAGGCATCGTTTCCAGGCCTTTGACCATTTTGGTTGCCCTCCTCTGGACACGTTCCAGTTTGTCAGTATCCTTCTTGAACTGTGGTGCCACAGTACTCCAGGTGAGGTCTGACCAGAGCAGAATGCAGTGGCACTATTACTTCCCTTGATCTAGATGCTATACTCCATCTAGATGCTATATTAAAAACACGATAAAACATCACACGTTAAAAACTTCCCTAAAAAGGGCTGCCTTCAGATGTCTTCTAAACGTCAGATAGTTTTTTATTTCTTTGACATCTGATGGGAGGGCATTCCACAGGGTGGACGCCACAAGCGAGAAGGCCCTCTGCCCGGTTCCCTGTAACCTCACTTCTTGCAGTGAGGGAACCACCAGAAGGCCCTCAGCGCTGGACCTCAGTGTCCAGGCTGAACAATGGGGGTGGAGATGCTCGTTCAGGTATACAGTGGTATCTCAGGTTACATACGCTTCAGGTTAGATACGCTTCAGGTTACAGACTCTGCTAACCCAGAAATATTACCTGGGCTGAATGATGGGGGTGGAGACACTCCTGCAGGTATACAGGCCAAGGCCGTTTAGGGCTTTAAACCAACACTTTGAATTGTGCTCAGAAATATACTGGGAGCCAATGTAGGTCTTTCAGGACTGGTGCTATATGGTCTCAGCAGCCACTTCTAGTCACCAGTCTAGCCGCCACATTCTGGATTACTTGTAGTTTCCGGGTCACCTTCAAAGGTAGCCCTACGTAGAACAGATTGCAGTAGTCCAAGTGAGAGATAACTAGAGCATGCACCACTCTGGCAAGACAGTCTGTAGGACTGTAGGAGTCAGAGAGACGTTAGTGACAGGAGCCCTTTCCAGAGGTCACCCTGGTGGGAGCTTCTTGGTCACATCACCCCTCATTGCATATTATAGAGGGAAGCTTCTCATATTACCAACAGGCCCAAAGAATATACGAACAACTTGGAGACGGTTCAGTTTAAACATGATGCTTGAGAACAGCCTCAGATACGACAATGCTTATATTTATGTATGTTTATGTACACTGGCAAAGAAATCTTTATGTCCTTTGCACAGTTCATAGGAAGCATATACGCCACAGACTAAGCAGATAACAGTGAGAAACAACGTGGGTTAAATATACTGCCTGAAACAGGATGCTAAAATCACAGACCCATGTAAACTTTTGAAAAAGATGTCAGGAACTATTTGCAATTTCCCCCCCTCTAAATTTCTGGCTGCACAGCACCATCTAGAGGCAAGGGAGGATTTAGCAATTTTATAACATCTGCAGATACTCAATTTATGAGGAGGGAGGAGAGAGAGCGCAAGGGAGGGAGAGAGCTCATCCCCATTCTGCTTGTCCCGTGCCTAGAAAGCATGGGTCGGAGTGGTTTTTCATTCATCCCACTGCTTTTCCCAGGAAAAACCACTGAATCCGAGCAAACTACAATCTGTTCCAATGCAGCTCTAAACCTCAGGTTTTCCCAGGGGTGCGTGGGGAGACAAGCGGAAGTGTTAATATTATGTTGTTATCCTATTTATGGGCTCTGGAAATGCAGATTACTGAAATAATAGCACTTGAAGCAAATAGAAAGAAGACTCCCAATGCAAGTCCATTTTTATTCAGGCTGTTTGCTTTAGTCTCTCAGCCCTTCTGGTTCATATCTATTCATCTATTGATATCCATTCTTGCTGTATAAACAAAAGCCTCACTACAAAAGAGGTGTATCAGCAACTTCCTTTCACCTGCGCTCTCAGTGTACACCTGTAGTTTGCTTAGCAATAGAAGGGGGCTGAAGTGTAGGAGATGCTCTCAGAATTGTACAAAACGTATTTGCCCTTGACAAGTTTGAATATGTCTTTGACAGGCAGCTCTGGTCCTATTTTCCTGTGAAGATGGATTTATCATGCCTGCATGATAAATCGATAGGCAGAGTGAGGCAGTTGCCCAGGCAGCCTGTGTTAAGTGGCCAATAATAAAAGTGAAGTGTTGGAAAACAGACCTATGTGCTTATTGCGTGGCCTCCACTATGCCTCCAAAGCAAGCTTCCACTGCATGGTGCTATCCCACTGCCAGTTTTGAATCATAGAATTGTGGAGTTGGAAAAGACCCCAAAGGCTGTCTAGTCTAATGCAGGAATCTCAGCTAAAGCATCCATGACAGATAGCCATCCAACCTCTGCTTAAAAACTTCCAAAGAAGCAGAGTCCACAACCTCCTGAGGGAGCCCACTCCAATGTCGAACAGTTCCTACCATCAGAAAGTTCTTCCTGATGTTTAGTTGGAATCTCCTTTCTTGTAACTTGATTGGTTCGGATACTACCCTCTGGAGCAAGAAAAAACAAGCTTGCTCCATCTTCCATGTGACAGCCCTTGAGATACTTGAACATGGCTATCAAATCTCATTTCAACCTCCTCTTTTCCAGGCTAAACATACATAACTCCCTCCACGGTTCCTCCTTAGGCTTGGTTTCCAGACCCTTGATTGTCTTGGTTGCCTTCCTCTGCACATGTTCCAGCTTGTCAACATTCTTCTTAAATTGTGGTGCCCAGAACTTGACACACTACTCCTGGTGTGGTCTGACCAAGGCATAATAGAGTGGTACTATTACTTTCCTTTATTGGGACACTATACTTCTTTTGATGCAGCCTAGATTAACATTAGCTTTTTTTGGTGCTACATCACACTGTTGATTCATGTTAAGCTTTTGGTCCACCAAGAGACCTAGATTCTTTCCCCATGTACTGCTGGCAATACAGGTGTCTCATCTTATATATGTGCAGCTGGTTCTTCCTGCCTACTGTAAGTGTAAAACCTTACATTTGTCCCTATTCCAATTCATTTTGTTTAGTTCTGGCCCAGTTCTCCAATCTGTTAAAGTTATCTTGAATACTGTTTCTGTCTTCTGTGGCATTGGCTACCCTTCTCCGTTTGGTGTCATTTGCTGCAAATTTGATGAGCACCCCTCAATTCCTTCATCCAAATTGTTTATAAAGACATTGAACAACAAGCAGCCCAGGACAGAACCCTGCAGTGCCTCACTTGTCATCCCT